TTTTTTTTTTTTTTTTTTGGTACGACTGCCCGACGAGCTTTGGCCGATGGGGAGGGGGCTTCAGCAGACCAATGGGGAGCCCCGCCACTGGTTGAGACTTATATAGCATATAATACGTGGCAGTTGAATCATTCAATGAATTAGAATTACTTTGTCACCATCATCAGGTTCCACATCTGCGATGATTTTCATTAAGATACCAATCAGCATATGGATGTTAGTAATCACTGTGTTCTTCAACTTCTTGTTAGTGGGCGAATACAGAATGATTCCAACATCATTAAGGTAATTGAGGACGTGGATGAGGTCTTTTTCGTTAATATCACAATCAGCAGCAATCTTAGTGATCTATAGAATTAATTGGCATACATTAAAATCAATGTCTCACAATAATACCAAACTAGAAACATTTACAAACTTATATTTACTATCATAAATACTATCACAGAAGTATCGTGTTTTCAGTAAATCTAAAAGTTAATATATTATTTATTTCCTAAATTTAAAAAAATCATGCAAGATAAAAGGGGGAGGGGGAGGGGCCTCGGAACAAAGGAAGACAAGTTCCTATACCCTTAACGGATATTCATCAAGAGTTAAACCGGTAAATTTATTAAATACGGTCTTTTGTTCACACAGTGAATTCGTCAGGTGACAGGTCAGCCTAACAACGGCTTCTACTGTTTCATGATATCATTAGGCTATAAAGTAGAAATGCAGGGTACCTTATCTAAGGACATGCGCAGTGTGGTTTTTCCAACTTCTTGTAATTTATTTTGCAAGTCCATCCACTTTATCGGCATAGTTCTTTCCATCGCCTTCATATAGCTGCCTACGTTTTTTTTCAGTCTTTCAATTCCTTCATCAAATTCTGCTGTGTTATCTACGGCATACATATTGGGGTCTACATGACTCTCGTACGGTGTGTCTTCGATTTCCTCAAATATTCTTCTGAATTTGCTTTTAATCTTTGAACAGAATCAAAAATTGCAGTAAATTCATTTAAAGACTTAATACATACAGCAAATCTTCTAACAAAATCGTTAATGACTTACCGTTTCCTGCTTCTCAGCTTCAGTCCCCTTTAATTGGTCCTTGTGCGTCCCAATTAGACTAATTGGCGGTCGTGCTATTCCATTGATCGAAGGTTTCTTGTCTGTGCCATGTAGCAGTACAGCATGTTCATATATCGACTTTAACCAGAATACGTTCAATTGCAGATTAGTCATCTCAAATGGTCCCTGAAATTAAAAAGAAATAGCCTCTTAATCTACAAAATGAGATAGAGGATAAAATTATTTAATGCAAGTAATAATTATTGACTTCTTTGAAAGTAACTACAAATTATAAATCAATAAAATTATTTACTGTATGCAAATCTCTTGGTTCTGCAAATTTATCTAAATCATCTACCAAACTGAAAACAACTCCGTAAGATCCATCAGTAAGGAAAAACTGAAAAAGTAAATATTAAATACACATTAAATACAATGACTTAACAAAAATAATGTGAATGTTAATAGGCTATTTTACAAAAAGGTGTTTCATAATACATAGCCTGCAGGCTTAGAAACATCTTATTAATATTTTAAATGCTTTCTTTAAAATCTAAAAATTAGATAACGAAAATATGTTTTTTAAATAAATCTTGGTTTTCATGCAATTGCTACACGCTACTGCCGACAGCATTTGGTGATGCTGATTGGTCAGCATTTTCTGTTTAAAAAATATTGTTTTGTTATTT